CAGGGCATTTGGTGCACTGGATGAGATCTATTACATTTCTGGGCATTCAGCTCTTGGGAAGTAACCTATTTGTAACTGTCTGCTGCTTTGGCTGTTAGGTTATCTTGTAACTGCTCTTGGGTTTATCTTTCACTGTTACCAATTTTTGATTTGAAATAAAACTGGTACTTTATAAATTGGTTTATGGGCATGGTTCTTTGTTGGGGACAGAACCAAGGGAAAGTGGAATTGATTCATCCCAGTGAAACGCATGCTTGGCTTCTCATGAAGATAAAGAAGCCATTTAGTCCTTGTACTGGATCTGTGGCCTGTACCTCATAGTCCCTATTCAGTGCTGCTTTATTTACAAGAGTTGGGTTAGGGTACTTGGAGCACTTCCCTAACAAATGGCAGCTGAGCAGGACAGTGACGGATGGGCCTGGATGTTCATGTGCCTGTGCAGACAGAGTCCATGCTCCTTAATCTTGGTAAATCTAGACAAACACCCTACTTGCACGCACACACAGCTCAGAGCTGGGTAGGAAGCTGGCTAATGTCAGCCTTGGAACAACCTGCTGGATGGAGCAGGTCTGCAGAAGCAGTTGGGCCAGGTAGTTAAAGGCTCAGAAACACGCCTCTCTTAGCAGGAGCAACTCTGCATCTATACCAGGGCTGATGGCTTCCAAGAGCCACTGCATCTCCATCCCCTGGCCTGCTTGGGTGGGATGGATGGTGCCAGCACTCTGCCAGGAGGCCATAACAGTGCAAAGGAGGGCAATGAAAGGGTCTGCCCATTATGTAGAAGGCCCAGCACTTTTCACAAGTACCATGGCCACTAGAGCAAAGCACTTGTGAGATATCAATTCTTTTTTCCCCCCTCTCTTTCCCTGCCTTACTTTTGAAGGCAACGCACCTGCCCAGGGCCCTAGTCACAAGATGATGGCTCAAGAAGCCCCCTAGTCTAGCCATGCACTCAGAGTGTATGGGCCTTTCCTTCCCATCCCTTGCCCCTGGTTTCATGAAGCTCACTGTTTTCATGAAAGCTGATATTGACTGCTCACAATGCATCATGTGTCTGACTTTTCTAGCCCTATAGGCCATGCTGTTTGCAGAGGAGAATGACAAAGACTTCTGCCACTGTCCCAGGGGTCCATGCGCCTCTTGCTGCTGTCATGAGGGATACTTTGTCTGTTGCCTGGGTTTTCTCTCCTACGCTGCTGGGATTGTCTGAACCTCCTTAAACCAATGTGGCAGACTGACATGGTGCAAATGTTTTGTTGCCAGCTGGGTGGGTTGTCCCACTTGGCTGTATGGCAAGAAATTGGTAATTGCTCTTTCTTCTTCCCTGATGGTAGGGCTCTAGGGCCAAGAGGTACAACAACTCCCTTTTCAGTTCTGGCACTTGCTGCCTTCTAGAGCTGCACAGCATAGGAAGGCTGCAGAAAAAGCTATAGAAAAAGGGCTGTTGGTACTGTAGTCCTGCAAGGCTTTATATTCCCAGTTCTTTCCTCCCAGGCTAAGATGCTACTTGGTCACTTTTCCTGCTGGCACAAATCAGCTAAATTTAAAAAATAAACCCACCAGAAATCTTATTTCACTCAAGTGTGAATAAGCCTGACTCCTCTCAGACTGCAGCCAGGCAAAGTCACGTGGCCCCAGGCAGCTCTGACTTGCGTAAAGGCTGCTGCCACCTCCTCTTCCGAACGGGACGTGGTTCAGAGGAATGTTCTGACGTCCTGGCAGCTGGAATTGCACCCTCAGATGTGTGTTGCTGAGCTCTGAGCTAATGTGAATGGAGGTTTAATTGAACTCAGGGTGTCTGTTTGCAGTTCTGTTTCCCTGAGGACACTCAGCTGAGTCACGAGGCAAATGAATGGGTCTCTCTGTGGCTGGGCAGAGCTGTATGCAGAAAGTACTCCACTGAAGTAGTCATGGTTGCCCCACACAACAAGGATGCTGTTGATGTGCGAGTTCAGTCTGTGTACTCTGTTAGACCCTAGTAATGGGGGCTATATAAATCCCCCCCAAAATAAACTTGTCTTTTTTTTTTTTTTATA